AATTAGGTTTTTATAAAAAAAAGATGAAAAGATGAGTCCCAAATAATAATGCTTAAAAGACATAAATATGAGTTTGTTGTTGAAATTTGAATAGTAAGGTTTAATTTGGTGAACGTGAAACACAAAAAGGGATGGTAGAGATTGATTGTTGTAGTGTTAAAGAATTAAAAGAAAAGAATAAGCAGACAATTGTTTAATTAAAAAATAAGGATATTTTGTATATGAATTGAATGGTTTTGTTTAAACATGGATGACAATATGAATACAAGAAAAAGTAATAATAAAAAAAAGTCCAATCAAGGGTTTTGCACCTATCAATAATCCATCAACAAGTAGTAAGGAAAAGGAAAAGAAAAAGAATCTTTTGGACTTAATAATTATTTGTCTCTCATATTCTACTAATTGAATATGATGAGTCATCCCAACTCCCAAAATGCATTTTAACTAAATCTCATGATCAAAATATAAGAAATTCAACAAATCTTATGATATATAACTAAAATACATACATACATATATATATATATATATATATGAATAGTTGATTGAGATGAAGCCGAAAGCAAATATAATCTAACTCAAATCAAGCTTAATTAAGCTGATTGTTTGAGACCCTAAAATGTTTCTCAAATATTATATATACACATACACATACACATACACAATTATGTCTGATTAGCAGCCAGCAACAAAGAAATGCAGACCAACAGAAAGGGACAACTTTTATTTATTTTTCATTTAATTAGGAAATGGAAATGAAATAAATATGTGATGGTCAATGGTCAATGATGATTGATGATTGGTGATTGGTGAAGCCGGGTATAGTAATATTAATAGGATTGTTATTTACACTCTTATTTATTAAAAAATCAAAAAAAAAACTTATTAATAACATTAAATAACCTAAAATTTTGAATTTGTTTTTCCTTTCTTGTATCTCCCCTCTCTCTATCTCTCTCTTACTTTTTTGTTTTTTAACTAATAGATACTAATTATTATTAGTCTATATTAATTATAATTTTTATTTGTATTATATATTAATCAAATTTAACCAATAAATTGAGAACACAAAAGCTTTGTTAATAATATATCATTTATTTTCTAATTTTACAAATTTTAACCATATGTATATAGTCATATACTTTGCCTCTATTAAAATCGAATAAGAACTTTAAAAATCTATATGCAAATTCTTAATTTTCATTTTATCTATATTTTCATAGAATATGTCATTAATCTTTCTGTAAATTTAAAAATTCAAAAAATAATCCATCATTTTTTTCTGACTTTAAAACGTAAAAAGTAATTAATCAATTCTTATTTAAGTTTTTGAATATTCAAATAATAATTTCATCAGTTTTCAACAATCTCTAAAAATCCAGATAATAATTCATCATTTTTTTATTAAAAATTCAAATATTAAATTAGTTTAAATTGTATTATGTTTTTTATAAAAAAAATAACAATATTGTTATACTAAAAATATATAGAAAATAAATTTTGAAAACATAAGTTTAGAGATGGTTGGAAGAAAAAAAAATTGACTTCTTCAAAATGTTAATGAATTTAATGTTAATTTAATGAACTTGATATTAGTTAAGTGAAGTGATACGCATTTTACTATTGTTATAAAAAGGGAAGTGAAATTTGTATTTTCATTCACAAGTAATAATTTCAACATTCTTTCTTTATGATTCCGAGCTTGTTAATGGCTAGTTGGAAAAACGATTTTCAATTTTATCGAGATTACAACGTTGAGGTACTTTCACTTACTATTTGCGATTTTTTTGCTAGTTTGTAAAATATAGTTTTTTATGCATGTGCATGTTTAGGAATATGATATTTACATAAACCAAACAACTTCCGTTGACGATTTGCATTTTTATCAAAATTCCAATAATGAGGTATTTTCATTTTACTATTTTGTAACATATTTTCACCTACTATTTTTTAATATAGTTTCTAATATAGTTTTTCTTGCATGTGTATGTTTAGGAATATGATATTTACACAAACCAAGCAACTCAAGGTGAAAACTTGCATTTTTATCGGAATTCCATTGATGAGGTATTTGTACTTACTGATTCGTCCTATAATTTTCATCTACTACTTTGTAATAGAGTTTATTTTTTCTATATTTGTATGTTTAGGAGTATAATATTTACACAAATCATACAATTCAAGATGATGATATTCACGCATCAAATTTTTCCACCGACAAGGTGTTCAAATCTCATCAAGATTTAATCGATTGGGTGCAAAAGTTGGGACGTTCTCTTGGTTACATTATTGTCACGAAAAGATCTAAGACAAAACAAAGTGGAGTTATGTCTAAAGTTATATTAATATGCGATCGTGGTGGTAAATACAGAGGTAATGGTAGTTCTAGTAGACATACTGGAACTAAAAAAAATGAACCGTTATCTAGTAATCGTGGAGTTATGTTTAAAGTTATATTAATTATGTTAAAATATCTTTGGCAGAAGGGTACCCGATGTCTTCTATCGTGCCAAATTGGTTTCGTTTCAAATATGATTGCACAACCGCATGAGCTACTCCGTACATGACCCGAATAAATAAGTACGGACAATTGTTATCTAGTAATCGTACTACGAAATTTATTTCATTTAATTGAGTTATAATATTTTCAGGCTTTTTGTATTCTATTTGTTGATTTACCAATTAACTTATTTTGATGATCTTTTTTGTATTAAATTATTTTATCTTTGTAGCTTTAAATATTTATTTAGAAAAATTACATATATAAATTATTAATTAATTAAAACATTAACAATACAATTATAAAAATTAAAAATAATTTTATAGTTATTTGAATTAATTTAGAAATAGTTAGTTGAAATTTTTTATTATAAAACATAAATTGAGAAAAATAAAATTAAAAATCAATGTTGAAGAAAATTATAAAACATAAATTTATAAGACATAAATTTTTGAAAAAAATTAATGCAATTGACTTTGACTTAAAGGATAGGAAGGAGTGTATTTTATCAATAAGAAGATGTGCATATGTTCTCATCCTTGAAATATTCATTAGCATTAACAATTATATATATATATATACATATATATATGTATATATATCATTTATATTATTATTCGTTAACCCATTCGGCCTTTCTTTTTGATGTTGACCATCTTCTTCTGTTTATATTTATATATATATATATATATATATATATATATATATATATATATATGCTGCTATTCCTTTCCATCGAATCCCAGTAGCAAATTTATTAATTACTATTTAATGTATTAACTACTTATATTTAAAATAATCCCACACATTCTTATTAAAAAAATGAGCATGCATCCATCCATTCATAAAATAATAGATAATTATAATTTTTTTAATTCTACCATTCATTATGACACTTTATTATCAACATATAGTTACAACTTAGAAATGTAATATTAATCTAGGTGGAGATTCAAATTAAAATATGAGAGCTTTTTATTTTATTTTATAATTTTGCATTTTTTACAACTTTTTTTTTGGTATACAAGTTTTAAAACATATGTACAAAGCATTTAAAACCCCTTCTTCAACATCCTTTTATTCTCACCCTCAACTCTTCCTCCCACATCCAGTTGGGGCCCTATTAAAGATCTAAGGAAAAGGGATCGTGGATTTGCAGTTGTAATTAGGAATAGATGAATCATTAAATTTGGATTGGGTGCTAGGCTAAACTGTTAAACATTTACTTTCCTGACTAGGATGGAGAAAGACAATGGAATTGCATTAAAATATAGGCTAAAAATCAAAATATATATGATTGGGCACCGAATTTTTTTTAAAGGCCCCAAAATTTTTGGAAGGCCTTGTTTGGAATCTCTCATTGGTACTAGGGGTGAACATACTATGTTTATTTTTTATCAATACCGTGTACCAACAAATTATAGTTGGTACACACATGTTTATACTGTGTACCAACGAACTCTACTTAATTGGTATCAATATTTTCGGTGTTAGTATGGTTTTATACCAATATCTCAAAAGTTGAAGTCGCAATTACAAGATCATTAATACAAGTATAACTTGGTGTCCAAATAAATTTAATACAAAGTTAGAGTGGAGGTGAGCGTACGTTGAGAAGAGAAGGAAGCTAGGATTAATGATTATTGAGTTAGTAACACACAATAAAAAGGTAATTAACAAATGATTGAATTCCTATATAAAAAAAAACAAGAAGATGCATTAATAACTAAATATAATTGTGAGATGAAGGATTTGAAGGATTGAAATCGAAAGAATGAGGAAGGAGAGGGATAGGGATAGGGATAGGGATAGGGATAGGGATAGAGATGATGAATCAAAACCACATAGAGATGAAGATGCTTAGAGGCTGAATCATGAATGCTATTCTGCCATATGTTTTAATTTAAACGCTACATTTTAAAATGATAAAAGAAAAAATAAAATGGGTTTGAATAGCATGTTGTAAGAACATGAAGCAACTAACATCCTAGGTTGGGAACAAAAATAGTAACTACAAAGACAATGTCTGAACCTTGGGGAGGAATTTGTAATTTATTGTTTGTTTGTTTGTGTGAGGAAGGAAAAGGTATTTATTTTTATAATAATAATAATTATTATTATTAAATTGATGCATCAATATTCTAGTGGGCCCTCATTCTTCCTATGGTTTCACGTGACCACCCCCCTGCCCCAGCCTCTGCTGGAATCTTAGAGAAAGTTATTGGTTGTACCCAACATCTTTGGAACCAACCCCTTCAATTATTGCAGAATATGTACAGTACAATACAGTACATTACATATTCTTTTATTTTTCTTAGATACTCTTTTAAATAATATATCTAATAAAATTTTACATATGATTCAAGGAGACGAAGCAAATTCACAATGACACCTTACATAAATAAAACCTAGAAAATATTTTTACTTTATTAACACTAACACGTGGTGGAGATTAAGATGGATGGATGACATACATACATACATACATACATACATCTCGTTAAGTGGAGTGGTTTAATCTGGTGAACAGATGCGATTTCACTTCATCTTGTGTGGCACCAGGGATCCTACTCACCACGTCTTGAAGCATCACTTGATTCACACACGACATGCTTGCATGGTGCACCTCTGCTCCCATTTCTCTCAACGCATCCATCACTTTTGCCACCGGCCAATCCTTGTTTCCCGATTGTACACGTATCATCGCATCCTCACCCGCCATTTTCACATCCACCTCTACGTCCATCCTTTTCTTTCCACCACTCCTTAATTTCTTATCCATCTTCTCTCCTACTTCTACTTCTACTTCTACTTCTACTTCTACTTCTACTTCTTCCACCTTCACCTTCGTTAACGACTTCCGTCGTTGGTCATTATGCACCTGCCATTCCAGTTCTTCCACTTTCTCTTTCAATTTCTTGATATAACACACCGCATCCGCCAGTAACGACGCCTTGTCCATCTTTGATACATTTGGGACCACCGATCGCAGCGTGTAGAAACGTTGGTTCAGCTTCTCCCGCCGTTGCCTCTCCGCCTCCACGTGGTTCAACGCAGGATTCCTCACGTTCCTACACCTTCCTTTGTTTTTCTGCCCTTGTTTCTTTGCGGTTGCAAGAACCAGCTGGCAATCTGAATCCGAATGTTCGGATGCTGTATCTGATACCACATCAGCGACAGTACCACTACTGGTTTTTATGTTGCCCAATTTCTTTGGTGGTCCGGACTCTATAATGTGGATGCTCTCTCCATTCAACATATCCTCCAACGAAATCCTGTTCATAGGACTTGCGGTGGAAACTTGGTGTTTGAAAAAAGTACTAGTTGTAGTGGTAGGAGGAGAAGATGAGGAGGAGGAAGAAGATGCACCACCGAATAGCAGCTGAGCTTGATTTGGTAAATCGCAGTCAGGCTGATGATGGATGACATGATAAGAACCCATTTCCACAACCCCGGTAGAGGTAGGGATGTAGAGGAGGGTTTGTAGGCCATGGATGTGAGCTTCTTTGGCTCTATCACAATCAAAGTGGTCGGCAGCCGTGAACCAGAGGATGGAACTGGAAGCGAAAGCTTTGGCAGGGGCGGAGGCATCCCCAATGGTGAAGGACCTAGTCAAAGAGACGACATAGAACCATTCAGGATCATCAGGGTTTTGGGGTCCAAGGAGAGATTGGATTACGGGTTTGCTAGGGTTTTGGAGAAAGTGAGCGTCTCCCCAGGTCAAGGAATGGTTGAAGGTGCAGGTCTTCCAGAAAATGGCATAAGCCCAGGGGTGGTGAGGTTGGGTCTGAAGGAGGAATTGGAGCTTCTGGTTACAAGGAAGATGAGTAGTGTTTTGAAGGTCTAGTGAAGAGGAGGAAGAAGAAGGTGAAAGAATAAGAAAGTCATCCATGGTTGTTGAGAATGAATGGAAAAGGAGACTCTTTTAAGGAGTAGGTTGTTAGTTAGGTGGCACTTTGTGTAGATACGAATACTTGGTATATGTTTTCCAACATTTCACGTTTGCACACACACTTTCTCTATCCCACTTAATTTACACATCACAAGAAGTTGAGATTTAATTTCTATATAATTTTCTTACGTTTTTTTGGTATTGTTTGTATTAAACTAATGATTTCCTCTCTTCAAGTCCAAGACCACAAATATTTGAGATATATATATATATATATATATATATATATATATATATATATCAATTAAGGGGTCCAATCAAGAGAGAACTCGATTGTTTGTGATAACTGTGAGATCCAATCCCAACCACATATTATTAATAATCTAAACAAGAACCCCTCCGTTTTGCAAAGATGCGAGAACAGTTATGAGCCTCTAACTTTTTAACAATAATTATAGTAAAAATGAAAATAAATCAATAATGGTAGTAATGTAATTAGATTTTTTATATGTTGTTTTAATTAATTATAATTACCCAAGATTTTAAACTGCATGATCACGTCGAATCTCATGTCCCCATCATTTTATGTATTTGCATACACAATTTGGTTAATGTCTACTTGAATTTGCCCTAATCAAGTGATAATCAAACTGTGATACTTGTGTGATACACATTCAGAGTATTGATTTATCGAGTTCTCATTATGTTAATTGCACAATAACAAATGTGACAAATCTTACTTGTGATAGTTGGGTGTTACACTTAAATACACAAGGTTAATGTATACACAAGTTTGCTATTGATTGTTGTTATCGACTCAGGTTGTGCTATTGATTCAGATTGTGCTATCAACTGTTACCTCTAATCATTTACATCCAATCGTCGATCCATACTCAAGTTGTGATAAACATGTGATAAATAACAAAATCACTGTGAAAAAAAACAATCGCAATAGCAAAAAAGCAGTGCCATGAGTCAAAACAGTTTTTTGAGTTATGGATTTAAAAAATCAAGTGTACAATACACCCACTGTTGCAAAAATAGTCTCAAGAGCTAATGTGATAATCGTGTGATATGATATCAATGTCACTGACCACTCGAGTTTGCCCTAATCGTGTGATAATGAAATTGTGATAAATGTGTGGTAGGGTAATGATTTCTTGATTTTTCCTTACGATAATCACACTGTGATAAATATGTGATACTCGAACAGAGTAACGACTTTTTGATTTTACCTAAGCATGTGATACTCACATGGTGATAATCTTGTGATAAAGAAGGGAAATCATCATTTATTACCGATTCGGAGTCTAATTTCTCGATTCTCCTTACAATTATTACATTGTGATAAATCTATGATGCCCAAACAGAGTAACGACTTCTTGATTTTGCCCTAATCGTGTGATAATCACACTGTGATAATCGTATGATAAAAAAGGAATCACTTATATATACATGTCATGTATGTGATGATGATGTTATACATAACATATACCTCTTAAAAATCGTCTTCCTCTTCTTCGTCGACAATTACATAATTATCAGTTCCATGATGATCGAAACAATCTGATCGTGTTTTTTTTATTTTGTGTTCCTATTTCCATTTTTACCCCTCTACGTCTTTATTATTTTCGAAAAAAATTACTATTCATTCAGATTTTAAAAATCCCTCAAATCCTATTAAAATGTGATTTAATACACAAATACTTGCCTTAAACGTGTTCTCATGTTTTCACAAATCTTAGGGGTTCTCGTTTGAACCATTTCATATATATATATATATATATATATATATATATATATATATATATATACACACACACACACACACACACACTAGTTTGTGGCATCGTACATTTTCTAGTGACGAAATTTGTCTTGTTAGAAAATATGTAGTCAAGTTAAGTTACGGAATTCGTTTCTTCTCTCTTCTTTTTTTCCGTCAAGTTACATTTATATTTTTGTGGTTGACTATTGTTTTCATTTGAGTGTTTGTGTTTACCATTTCCGCATTACAGACACGCTCGAGTTTATTTTTGGATCTCAGGGTAAATTTGATTAAGTTTTACTAGGTTAGATCTCTTTATTTTTTGGATTGATTTGAGTGTGGTATTTGTCGATATTTACAACACATGAATATGTTAAATATTTGAAGTTTTGATTTGAAGTTGATTGAAGGAATTTTGTTTAGATTTTAGGATTGCATTTAGGTAGTCTTGGTGACGGTGACAACTAGAGGAGGTGTTTTGTGTTCCTATTTTCATTTTTACTTCTCTACGGGGCTGTTTACCTAAACGCTATCCGATAAGTACTTATCGTTAGAGTCAACACTATAATTTATTTTATTGGGTAAGGTTGTAGTACATCAAAACGTATTTCATGCAACAAATTTCCTGGTAAGCGCTTACTATGGTAAGAGTCGTCACCCCTTACTGGGTAAGACTCTCCATCCTTATCTCCGTTCTTACCGAGTAAGATTTTTCGCCCTTGTCATGTTCATCCGGTGAGAAAAATTACCCGATAAGTACTTACCGGGTAAGCGTTCAGTAAACGGCCCATACGTCTTCATTATTTTCGAAAAAAATTATTATTCAATCAGATTTTAGAAATTCCTCAAATCCTATTAAAATGTGATTTAATACACAATACTTGGCTTATACGTGTTCTCATGTTTTCATAAATCTCAAGGTATTCGCACAATGTAGTGAGATACATCTCGATTTTAATGTTTTGTTTTGCTCTTTTTTCTCGATCGATGTTATAATACGGTTTTATATAATTTTGAGAAAACGATAATGTTTTTATTTTTGAATAAAATATAAATATGAAGATATATCATAAAAAATTGAAAAAGAACTATTGATATTGGTACTAAACTAACTATTTAAAATTTCTCTTTTTTTGTATACCATTTACTCGATCCGCAACGCCTATATGATGATCGGTAGAGATTCGAAAGAAAAAAACAATATATTCCATGTATGGAAGTGAATATATATATATATATATATATATATACACACACATGAATAAATGGAGACCGAATTCAAAAAGAAATACAATTGTCTCCATAGCATTCTTAGCAAATAAGAGCTAGAAAGTTGAAAGATTTTGTGATCGGTTTGATGCGCAAAATGTAAAAGTCAAATGTTGAGTTGTAGTTTTCCTTCCAAAGTCCATTTTTAGTCACTTAGCCCAAAAGTTTCCCTACCAAAACCCTTAGCCATGTTACAACCCTACTAAAAAGACCTTTTTGATCCACACCTAGGTTGACCATTAGCGATGGAGAATCGAGACCTAATTCAAGCTTATGGTAGTACATGTGCATATGAATTGATGCCAAGAGTGAAAACACCTGCGCTTTGTGTGAATGAGCGATTAGAGTAGGTTTATATCCTTTGTGAGGTGTTTGTGAGATTAGCAAGTGTTCATCTTTGGTTGTCTTGTGTGTTGATTGTTACTATGTCGGCTAAGTCGTACCTTCATGAAATGTGATGTACTTTTCGTCGATTCTCTAAAATTAACTCTTGACTTTCATCCATATTAAATGTTTATTGTTTACCCGAGGACGGTCAATGGTCCAAGTGTGGGGATATTTGATAAGCTTATATTTAAACATGTTTTTATAATGAATCTAATACATATTGTAATGTTTATATAACTATAGAACCCCTTTAATTTAATTATTGATTGGTCTTTGATAGGTGCCAAAGGATGAATTTTTATACAAACAAAGCATATATTTCGAAACTATTACAAGGTCAAGCATAGTTTTCTGAAGGAATATGAGGCTGAGCATACTTATGAAATGGGTTCTAGATTGGGCATATGAATTCAAATAGTTGTAAATGAAGCATATTTACTCAAATATTGCTTAAAAAAAAGAGCTGTCACGAGATTTTGAAGAAAAAGGGAGGTTTTCTTATTTTGGGGGGGGGGGGTTTATTGGCAAAAAAAATACCCTTTCATCTCACACCCCAGTGACGTGCGTGAGAGAGGCAACCCACGTTCACGTTTCAACCGGGTTTTTCTTGGGGTGATGGCGAGAAGTCGAGGGGGGAAGAAGAGAGGAGGCAGAGAGAATGATCGATTGGAGAGGCATTGAAGGAGATTCATCAATTTCAAAACTAGGCTAATATCTCTTGTCAATTTCTTAGTTTTGTGTTTTCAATTAGCCATGTGTGGCTAATTTCTTTACAAATTCGACTTTGAATTGCTTAGTATTTGCAAGTTCTATTTTTACTAGTTGTTTGAGATGGTGTACTTCCATCTCACTTTGATTATTCAACCAATTTCTGAAATTAAAGCTTATAAAATTGAATTTCATGTTTTCTGATCAATTGTATGGAAATCGATTATGGTCATTTTGGTTTCATAAATCCGTAATTGTTTAGTAAACTAATATTGATGACAAACAAGAAATAGGTTTGTAGAAAATTCCTATCTTTTATTATGAAAATGGGTGAAACGGAAGATTTAGATTAACCAAGCTCGTATGTTAATTTATCCGACCCAGGTTCCATTGATTCTTCATGCTAGTATCAATTTGGCTCTTAAGAGCTTATTTGAGGTCAATTGCATATTAAGATATGAAAGGAGAGCTTGTTCCTCTCAAATGTTATGTATGTTGGAATTAATTGTTAGAGCTCTTTGACAATTAGAACCGGGTTAATCAAAGTATGTGTGGTCGCCTTATATACATTATCAATGATAACAACTCGTGAATAGAGTTGCATTTATAATCCAAAGTCGAGTTTCTTTTTATTGCAATCGTTTATAATAAATTTTAATCGCATGTTTAGTCTAATTAATCAAATCCAACCCCCCCCCCCCCCTTTGTAATTACTTTTAAGCCGTCGCCTTGTATTTGATTTTTCTAGACATAGTAAGTTAAACCGAGTCCCTGTGGATTTGACCCGACTTACCACTATTACAATTTTGGTTGTAATTAGCTCGTAGTTGGAATTTATTATTTGGTGAACTCGGCATCCATCAGTTTA